TATCTTACATACCCTCCTGTGCCCTTAGAATTTTAACTGTGTGAGGGGATTGCCTATTTAAAATAAAATGAAAATAAAACTAAAAGAAACCGTTTTGAAAGAAATTAAGGCTGGGGGTGGTAGCTCACGCCTGTAATCCCAGCACTTTGGGAGGTTGAGATGGGTGGATCACCTGAGGTCAGGAGTTTGAGACCAGCCTGGGCAACATGGTGAAACCCTGTCTCTACTAAAAATACAAAAGTAGCCAGGCGTGGTGGCGGGCGCCTGTAATCCCAGGTAGTTGGAAGGCTGAGGCAGGAGAATTGCTTGAACCCAGGAGGCGGAGGTTGCAATGAGCTGAGATCGCGTCATTGAACTCCAGTCTGGGCAACAAGAGGGAAACTCCATCTCAAAAAAAAAGAAAGAAAGAAAACAAAGAAAGGAAAGGAAAAGAAAAGAAAAGAAGAGACACCTCCCTAGTTCAGCACGCGGCCCCGTCGTGCATTCCTTTCCCAGTGCCCATCTCTCTCCATTGAATCAGGCCTGTGATGAGTCTCCACCTCAGAGGGGCCTCCCCAGAGAGCTTCTATGGCATTCCCACCTCCCTAAGGCCTGCAGCATAACCGGCTCTCAGGTGAGGCGGATGAGGCTGGTCATGGACCACCCTTTGCATAGGGAGGGTCTAGAGCTCTGAATGCTCTGTGATGAGGCTCATGGGTTAAGCATCGTCAGGTCTGGAGAAGCTGCCCTGGTCCAGGAAGGAGGAGGAGTTGCAACAGTGGAGGTTCTGCCAGAAAGCGAAGCACGTCTCTCCCTGATCTGACCTGGGCCCCTCAGCCCCGGGTGTCCATCCCCACCCACCACTGTCCTGGGGGCAGCACAGACTGGCTTCCCCAGCCGCCTCCACTGAAGAAAGGCCCAGACAGTAGTGGGACAAAACGGCGCCCCATGAGGGCCCAGTGGGTTAGTGGGGAATGCGGGCTGGGATGCGGTGGCCTGCACTGCACAAGAGCAGCCGGACTAAACTTCACAGCTAAAGAAACTCCTTTCCTCTTTCTCACAGGCTAACGGTGGCTCGTGGCTGCGGGCCATCAGCCCTGCCTGAAAATTCAGAAGCCAAACCAAACCTCCTTCAGCCAACAAAACCAGACAGCGTCTGACACAGCCTCTTTCTCTCCGTAAAAAGCAGACGTCTTGGATCCAGGTATGGCAGGACCACCTGCTCTGGCGGAAGGCCAGTGGCCCTCCAGTGGGGGTCTCCTCACCCACCCAGGACGAGAACTGATCTGAGAACCTGGAAATCAGGTTGCTAACACCTCCACCGCACCCCTCGCCCCAGGGGACAAGGTAGTTTTCCAGGCCACACACGTAGGTTTCCCTGATGAGGCATTTTTCTGTATGACAAAACTCTGCTCTTGGCCACTGCCAGAGAGAAATGAATGCGGAGTGTGGTGTGAGAGAAGCCAGCAGGTTTGCGCCCCTCAGGGCTGCCACCACCCCTGGCTGGAGCAGGTGGGGGCCTACAGTGACCACTGGAGGGGTGCCAGGAAAGGGACCCCTCCCCCTACATCGTCCCCGCACACCTGTGACCATACCTGAAATTGCACCACGCACACTCATTCTTGGAGGATGAGAAATTGCATCTCTTAAAATGTTTCCACCCACAGGAGAGGTAATACATTAAGCTGTTATCAGTCATCTACACCTTAATGTGAATTAGTTGATCAGTCTTGGAATGCTACACCTGGAATGAGGCCTAGTCCAGCCCCCTTTTTACAAGTCAGGAAGCCCAGAGTGGGAGGTGACTGACTTAAGGTAAGGCAGCAAGGTGGTGACCAGGCCAAGGGCAGGAAGAGCCCAGAGGGATGTATGGTAAACAGGTGACTGGGGGATGAGGGAAACCTCAGTGTGATTGAGACGAGTGGGGGCACCGTCCAGCATTCATTCCACAGACTAACATTACAGCCGTACCAAGGTAGTCAACCCCAAGAGAAGGGTCGCTCCACGCCCTGCCCCACCCTTGGTACATAAAATGCCTTTAAGTCTCCTGTCTTATCTTAAAGTTCATTCACAGCACATTCACTCCCAAATATAGTAAATTTGTTTTCACCCATCAACGGATGTAGATTGATCCCGAGTGAGACTACCACTTTCCCATTACCAAAAGGCTGAGATCAAAGTTTGTGGTTCTGGGGCCAGGTTGACTGATGGCTGCGACGGAGACAGAGACCTCCTCACTGCATGTCCTTTCCCTATTTTTAAATTTCTGCCACCTGCAAACATTACCTAGTAAAAAATTAAGAAATTACCTTAAAATATGAGTTGGTTAAGGCATGGGAAAATAGGGCATTCTTGATTCTGACCAGGAGGTGGTGCAGACAGAAAACTCTTCTATGTTGGACAATGGTGATATATCCAAAGTAAACAGGCACACCTTTTACCCAATGGAATCTGGTCTGGTCTAGGATCTTCGCCCACAGCCTGGGGGAATGACACCAAGCCTTGAATTGTCCACCCGCTGCATGATCTGTGCTGGATCCGAGGGCTGCCTGAGCATCTAACCTCTCTTTGAAGACCTTATGACGCTGAACAAAGACCAAGACTTAGACTTTCCTGTCTGGCGATCCTCTCCGACCACCTCTTTTTTTTTTTTTTTTTTTGAGGACAGAAGTCTTGCTTGTCTCCAGGCTGAGTACAGTGGCACAATTTGCTCACTGCAACCTCCGC